GTCGTCGTCGTCGTCGTTCATTTAGATTTATAGAAGTGCATTGGCACGGTGAACTCTTTAAACTGCCCGTACGTCTTCGTCCCGGGGCTCTAGTTGGATAAATAGAATCCTTCGGGAGCTCAGAAATAGAATAATGGAGGACACGATATCCACGCATTTCGTTCCGTTTCGCCAATGACAAACGAAACTTGTTTAAACTATCAAGCAAGAGTAATGAGAATTTAGCCCCCAACCAACCGAAGATACAGACAGACAGACAGAGAGAGAGAGAGAGAGAGGGGGGGGGAGAACCTGTGTTTGCTTTAGCAACTGCTTTGATCTAAATAGGTTCGGGGGACCAACGAGTTGAAAAGTAGCTAGCTTTACTTCCCGTTTCTGGTACATATTAATTTATGGAAAACTGAAGCCTTTTTGCGAATGGAAAACAAAAGAGCCTCGTTAAAATTTATTCCTCTTTGTCCTCCGGGCGAGCGAATTTATGCATCTGAGGATCATTTTCTAGGCGACTCTGATTTTTTTCTCTTTTTTTTCTTCTTTTTCGCATTTACGGGAATAAAGAAGTCCCCTTCCCCCCGTCGTGGAAGCTGACTTCCTCTTTCTGTTCGTTTCTTCAGCTCGAAGTGCAGAAAAATGTAAAGAAGAGTGTGCTTCTCTGTTCGATGAAATAAATGAAAAAGAGACAGCAAAGGAGGGAACTCGGGAGGAAGAGAAATTAATGACGGTTCGAACGATGAAAAATAAAGAATGTTATAAATAAAGAAAGTTATACGTTCTTCATCTCTAAAGCAAGATATACCAATTCTTTGAGAAACACTAATGAACGTAAAGTATACATATAATGAGCGAGTGAGTGATGTACGTAATGAAAATTTCCCGTGTTTCTCAATATCATTAAAATCTCTCTCTTTAACAATGTTCGACCTGTTTAATTAATAAACTTCCTTTAACGTGTAAGAGTCACATTTATTACCTCTCTCGAGTCCTCGAGTCGAAAGATGTCGATTATTAGAGAATACAAGGAATAAAAATTAAAACATACAGCACAACGAGAACAACATTCGCGGTGGTGTAACAGTGAGATTGTTAGGGAATTAACATCGATGAATTACTAGCCAGAAGCAACGAGCAGAGAGTTTACGAACGACACACAAGCAGAGACACGTTCCATCTGGCTGTGTGTGCATTATCTATCGGTTAATTTATCGATTCCCATTGCATAGCAGGCTTCAGGCAAACGATAGTAAATGTGTCAAAGCAATTTCACAATATCTCCCACGAGCGAGGCTGTCCGACAATTTATCGAAATGCTGCGAACCTCATGGTTAATTGATCATGCCTACTACCCCCCGCTGATTTATCTTTCAGCAGTCTAATTTTCCATTGGACCAGTCGTTCGCGACGACTTTGAACGTGAAAACAAGCAATTATATAAGTCGTTTTTTTTTTTTCATCACTCGTAGAAAGACACACAGGTTTGTAAAATATTTTCGCGAATATATTTGTGCATTTTATATATACGAGCGAGCATGTGAATTCTGACAAAAGAA